TGTGTGTTGAAAGAAAAAGTGTGGCAGATCTAATTAGTTCCTTAAACTCAGGGAGACTGTAAGTTTAAATTTCCTGCATTTTTGGTAATTTTGATCTCTGGCCATTTTCTCTACATTTTCCGGGCATGACTAATGAAGCGCAGCGAAAACGTCGTTCAAACATTCGGGCCAATTCAGGTCAAAATACTCACGTGCAGTTCAGTTACAAAACTGCAGATTCTTTAGCATTCATACGCCTGTATTCTAAAAGCACATTCACACTCAATGGGTGGAGGTTCAATCTGAGCTTCCCTTGAGTGTGAATGCTGTTTTTGAATAGCTGGAGGGTGAGTAGTCACATAGTAAGGTGCGACACTAACCCTCCAGCTATGCAAAAACAGCACTGACACTCAAGAGAAGCTCAGATTGAACCTCCACTCTTTGAGTGTGAGTGAGCTTTTAGAATACAGGCGTTAGATTTAATTACGACCATTGCTCGTTGATTTAAATAAGACCACTTGCATCCATTTTATTCCATCCATCAGGCAACGAGTAGTCTTCTAAATTTGTCAAAATTTAGAGAAACAGCATATACAGTTTGTAATAAATACTTAGAGCCAGAGAACGTTTCTTAAATAATTTGCCTTGGCTGCGCATTATCTACTATTTTTCAATACTTTTATACAGTGTACGTATTTTTAAAATCTTTAAAAAAATTGTTAGTGTGTTATTTTTACCTTTGGTATTACTTCTTATAGGTATACTCAATGTGTGGCAATGACGAGATTTTATAAACGTCCTGTTCTGTTAATTGAATTTGATCCAACTAAATCATTCTCTCTTCAGGTTTGTTTTACCGTAATATATTACTTCAACTCTTTGTTTTACCGTAATATATTGACACAAAAAATACGGGAACCACTGAGTTACCGTTGTTTTGTATATTGATATAACCTCCGATAATGTTTGCATAATGGTGATAATGCATGTTGTTTATCGTGGCATCGATGGCTTTACTGTATAATTTCGTGAAATAGATACTTTTTTTGGAAATATGACATGTTAAGTAATTTTATTAATTATGTTTTCCTTTCTGGATACCGAAAGTAGTATCAAGAACCCAACGTTCCCGTTTTTAGTCAAGTTGTACAATATATGACAGTATGTGTAGTATGGGCCGTATGGCTGCCATTTCTTAAAGTGTCTTCTTCAATAGAGACATTGAATTGCCCTATATATATATATGAAAGCCTTCTTGGCAACCTCAACACTTAGTTTGTAATCATCTGTATATTACTTCAGGCCAAGTCATCTTTATCAAATGAAATATCCCTTCAAAATGTTACAACAAAACTTGCGTTATTAACAATTCACTTCCCAAGGGTAAGTAAAAGAACAGTATGTGGAAACCGATTACTTTGTGGGTAAGAAAGAACACTCTGAAACACTCTGGTTAAAACTCCTGGTTAAACGTCCTGGATTGACCTAGAAATAACTCTATTTGCTATACCTGAATATTTTTAGTTAATTTCCTGGCTATTTTAAACTTTTTTCTGGTCATTTTAACCTATTGCCTAGTTAATTTGACCAGGACTTCCTGGTTAAATTAACCAGAATATGTCAGGTGGATACATAACCTCGCAGAGACCCATGGTGAGGTTTCCCAGAGTGTTTTTAGAGTGTACTGTAGCTAGGGGAAAAGGGTGCACCGAGTTAGGAGGACGTACACATGGTGCCTCACGTGCATTTTTCTCCTTTATACAGTGTGTTTACACTACAAGCCTAGACCTGGCCTTGGCAAGGTTTTGGCTTCACTGAGTGGTATGCTAATTTAATGAGCCAATTAGGGTAAGCCATATTATACCAAAGTCAGGTCGAAGCTTGTTGTCTCTTAGATTGTAGTTTCTAGGCTCTAGTCTGCCTGCTTGCACGCCTTCTAGCGTGGAGGTCTATTCAACAGAGTAAGAAAAACGTCTTTAAATAACAACATCTTAATTTTACTGGCCGATCCATCTTGTCCATTAAAATGGATTAGAAGGCTTATTTAAAAAATCATTAATAATTCATGAAGAAAATTCAAAAGAAATGAATGTTTAATCAATGTTTGTAAATCGGATAAAGATTTGTCCTGATAAACATAAATTTCAGCTTTGATTTCCTCGGCTTAGACAATGTTTATTTTTAAAATTACTTCGCCAATGAACTCATAAGATGGGTCGTTTTTTAAACACGTTCGCATCCGATCTTTATCCGATATACAAACTTGTATATGCTCATGGTTTAATTAACTAGTACTTATGATACTTAAAACAAGTTCATTTTATTATAGAGCAGTGTAATGCCACTCAAGTATGATTACTTTTCACCACCTTAAATTACATGCACTGTTCCCTATATATAGAGGATATTAGACGGTTGCGAGGAGATATGCATTTTATGCTCGAGTGGCAAAAACAATATCTCACGAGTGCGCGCAGCGAAAGAGTGAGATATTGTTTTTGACACGAGAACATAAATCCATATCTTCTCGCAACCGTTTAATGTTCTGTTTATTATATGGACTTACTCAGAGTGACAAAAATACACACAAAGACGACATGTAAATAAGCTGCGAAAGACCAGTATAAAAGCGATATTTTTCAAATTATAGTGCAAACATAAAACTAGAATAATTTTAAAATTTTACTTATCTCAAGATGTCTTTTAAATGTTTTCGGGTTTTTTCCAACGTTAATTTCGTTTTAAATACGAACCAAAGACCACTTTTATTTTCAAAACAACAACAATGAAAATGGCGGAAAATTTTCGAACTTCGTATGTCACTCGCAAGCGTGAAATACGGAAAATACGCGCATCTGGTCCCGAATGTGTTCTACGAGTGTTTTAGTTTCCACTAGTAAAACACCATTGTCCATATAATAAATTTGTATATGCACGACATGAACTCACATTTATAATCGAAGATTTACATTTATTTCAGTTTTCTTTATTCTGTTTCAGTTAAAAATCTTGTGGTGTCCCAGTCCTTATGCTACTGCAGAATTATTTGACGAATTGAAGGTAAATTTGGAGTGACAGTATTATTTTCAATGCTACATAAACTATTTATGAAATGTGATTCACCTTATTATTGCAAACTACCTACCACCAATGTAGCCACTGACAATGCAGGCATTCTTTTTCCGCATCTTTGTTTTCTGGGTATAATGGCTTAACACCGACTTCGCCATGTCTATTTAATAATTATGACTTCTTATGTAATTTAGCATAATCAACCGGAACCTGAAGCTGCTGTTGCCATGGAAATAGGAAATGATTCGTCATCAGCAGTGGGAGGTGATCGCTATAATGCCGCACCCCAGGTAAGGCCAGTACTAAACAACATAAAAGAGAGGTTCAGATTTGACTTCCACTACCACTACCTCTCACTGGCTTAGTTCGCATCTGATTGGTTAATCTGATACATGAAACGCATCTGATTCCTTAGTATTGATAGACAGCCTGTCGGAATTATTCCGAAGATGTGAACTTTAACCTAGACATAACGGATTTTTGTTGAATGAGAACTGTATGACTTTTATTGGGGTATAGCAATTTTTGCTTTGTTTTATCTGTGGAATACAGTATTTTCTCCATTGTTTTTAAGGATTTCCTGAACAAGCTTCCGGGAATAAATTCCAAGAACTGCAGGTAAGTTTATAGGAACGTAAACACGTGCATTGTTTTCGATTGTCTAATGTGAATAAGTCATTTTACAATGAATGCTCTTTTCAACTTTAGATCTGTGATGAACAAGGTCAAAAATATTCACGAATTAAGCCAACTGCCACAAGTATATCTTCAAGAAATTCTCGGAAATGCCAGTAATGCCAAAATCTTATGGGAATTCTTTCATGACAATCATAAATTAGATGCAAGCAAGAGGTGACAATGCAATCAGAAAAGCGCTCTGGAATGCAGTACATGGAGATAGTGAGATTATGAAGGTAGGCCTACTTCAATAAGGAAATTGAACAATGAAGACGCTAAAATAGTGGTGAAATATCGTTCAACGAAAACGTAAATGGGAGCCTAGGCTACCTAGCGCCTATAATGCCGAAGTGTACATTAACCACTGATGACATGAACGATGTTGACGGACTATACCAATATTTGTACAAATTTAAGTTATACAAAGTAGACATTTCTAACCACTTGAAACTCGCTCCACGCATGGTTCAAAGAACATTTCGAAATATTATGCGAGATGTAATGTAACAACTTGCTTCGTACACGAATTAAATTGCTTCGTACACGAAAGTTCAGATTGATTTAATTATTCAATTTTTTGACAAATGTCGAGGGTCCAGAGCCTAATGCCCTTATACGAGAAGAGGTAAAGATTTAACCAATATCATCCGATGCTCAAGCAAATCGACTGAGTTGTACATGTTGTTTCTCCAAACATCTGATTTTGTCCTATAAAAATCTCTCCAAACTCACAGCAAATGAAAGCAGTTGTTCATGTACTAATAGAACGTTTTGAGCTTCTTCCAAATTTTTGAACTTCGTTTGGGCATGGATCATAAAAATACTGGAAAGGAAACACACTCACGCATGTTTTCCTGGGGCCGGTTGTTCAAAGCTGGGTTAGCTTAACCCTAGGTAAACCTAAAATTCAAAGCAAACTTCTTGACAGCTTGTCTATAAATTTGGAAATATTTCATGGAAATATTCTTGTCAGGATGTGTAATATAGCTAATTAATATGCTAATAACTAATCCAAATAGGAATAACTAATCAGTATTCAATATATAGTTCACATACACTATAACACGCGTTTATCTCGTTTTATTGAGTCTTAAACACTACATTCAGGCGACGAGGATACACAGTTGGAGTTCGTAAACACGTTTAGTCAATCTACAACGTCGAAACATCGAATTTCAAAGCGCAAATTCGTATAAAAACAAGATGTTCGTGTGACCACGAGGAAGCCATTTCGCGCCATTTTCACAACTCGCCGTTTTCTACATCTATCCATGGCAGCTACTAGTTTCTCCTTGCCGACATTCCCGTCATTCGATGTCCATGCCGACGGAAATACTGGTCATCGCTGGAAAAAATGGCTAGGCCGCTTTGAACGGTTGCTTGTGGCGATGAATATTACCGACAAAAAACAACAACGTGCGATGCTATTACATTTCGCCGGACCGGCTGTTGACGAAATTTTTGACACCCTTTCAGACACTGGCGAAGCAAAAGACTAGGACAAAGCGATAGAAGCACTCAATGCCTATTTTATTCCGCACGTAAACACGGCGTTTGAAGAATATAATTTCCGCCAAGCGAAGCAAAACCAAAGCGAAATCCTAGATGCCTTTCATACACGTTTACGTCAGCTATCGCAAAATTGCTCGTTTACAGATGTCGATAAAGAGATAAAGAACCAAATAATCGTTGGTTGCTCATCACAGAAACTTCGAAGAAAGGCTCTACGTGAAGACCCGACCTTAAAGAACCTTTTAGACGCGGGGAGAGCCGAAGAAACGAGTCAAATACAAGCGCAATTCGTGGAGAAACAAGAGTCAAGTCAAAATATCAACGCCATTAAGACGGGCGCTCTCGAGAAACATAACCCCTCGCCTCGCGACATGAGAAAACCACAAAATCAACGTCACGGCTCAAATTATCAAAGAAATTTCAACAAACCCCCCACATCAACTTGCCGCAACTGTGGTGGTATCTACCCCCATGCCCGAGATTGTCCAGCCAAAGGAAAAGAATGCCATTCCTGTAAAAAAACTGGCCATTTTGCAAAGGTATGCCGATCGACCCCTAAACACAAACCTCACGAACACCGGAACAGAGTCAACAACCTTTCTGAACAACCGAGCACTAGCCCTCATGATGTCGACCCTGATTACATTTTCACTTTGAAAAACAATTCGAACAGCAAAACCCAACCCCCCAAATGCCAAGATTCGGCGTTTAGAAGCCCTCGATATCATTGAGCAAGTTGATGGTCCGACACCATGGGTCAGCCCAATCGTTGTGGTACCCAAGAAATCTGGAGAGATCCGATTATGTGTGGACATGCGTGAAGCGAATAAAGCAGTGCAAAGAGAAAAACACCCCATGCCAACTGTCGACGAGTTAATCACAGACCTCAATGGTGCCATAGTGTTTAGCACCCTAGATCTTGCCTCAGGTTACCACCAACTGGAGTTACACCCTGAATCCCGCCATATCACAACCTTTACCACTCACGTTGGACTTCGACGTTACAAGCGACTAATGTTCGGCATTAACGCAGCCTCGGAGATATTTCAGAATGCAATTGCAAACCTACTGGTTGTAAGAATATTTCGGACGGACATCATCGTCTATGGTCGAGATGACAAAGAACATGATGAGAACTTACGAGGCGTGTTAAACCGCTTACAAGACAACAACGCCAAATTAAACGGTGAGAAATGTTCCTTCCGTCAGCACCAAGTAGTATTCTTTGAGCACACATTCAGCGCAAGTGAAGTTCAGGCAGACCCAAAGAAGATCGACATCATCCGGAATATGCAACCTCCAAGAAATGTCAGCGAAGTCAAGTCCCTTCTCGGAATGACCCAGTACGTATCTCACAACACCCTTGCGTACCCTGACCCACCAGAACGCCAAATGGCAATGGCAAGCGGAACAAGAGAATGCTCTGAAAAAACTTCAACACGAGCTTACGAATGATCCTGTTATGGCTTACTTCGACCCTTCGAAACCAACCACCGTCATTGTGGATGCCAGCCCCTCGGGTTTAGGAGCACTGCTTACTCAAGAAGGCAGAGTTATCAGTTATGCAAGTCGTGCACTTTCCAGTGTAGTATCCCGCTATTTACAAACTGAACGCGAGATGTTAGCCGTTATATGGGCTATCGAACACTATCATCTTTACCTCTATGGCGCTAAGTTTATTGTCATCACCGATCACAAGCCGCTACTCGGAATCTTCAAAAGTCAGAAACCGACTTCAGCGAGAATCGACCGCTGGAAACTAAGACTGATGCCCTATGATTGCGAAGTTGTTTACACACCAGGGAAAGATGCAGAAAACCCTGCCGACTTTCTCAGCCGTCACCCCAACCCTGTTGTTTCTTCGCCAACCGACAACACCACCGAAGCCTATATCAACTATTTGTGCATCAACCTCATCCCCAAAGCTATGAAACCTGACGAAGTGAAGAAAGAAACTGCTAACGACCCAGTCCTTTGCAAGCTTTCTGAAGCAATCACATACAACCAATGGCTCGATCCTGAAGTGAAACCGTTCGTTAACGTAAAGGACGAACTGTCTGTCTGCAATGGATTAATCGTCAGAAACCACCGCCTGGTGCTACCTCATTCTCTGCAGAGCCAAGCCATAGATCTTGCACACGTAGGCCACCAAGGCATAGTCAAAACGAAAATGCTACTTCGTGAAAAGGTCTGGTTCCCCTCCATAGATAAGATGGTGGAACAGAAAGTCAAGACTTGCCTGCCGTGCCAAGCAGCAACCACAGGTACCCATCGACATCCAGAACCCTTGATCATGACACCGCTGCCCGACGCACCATGGCAAGAGGTTGCTGTCGACTTTGTTGGTCCGTTCCCATCAGGCGAGCTGCTACTCGTTGTCATCGACGAATTTAGCCGATTCCCCGAAGTAGAAATTGTCACCACTACGAGCGCAAAAGCTGTCATCCCAAAGCTGGATAACATATTTTCCCGCCAAGGTGTTCCTGTTGTTCTTAAAAGTGATAATGGTCCGCCATTTAACAGCTTGGAATTTGAACAATTTGCCAGTTACCTTGGTTTCGAACATCGCAAAGTCACTCCGTATTGGCCAAAGGCGAATGGAGAAGTGGAACGGTTTATGCGCACCATTGAAAAAGCCATACGTACAGCACACATCGAAAAGAAGAACTGGAAACAAGCCTTGTATCAATTTCTCCGCCAGTACAGAGCCACACCGCACAGCACGACGAATGTGTCACCATCCGAGGCCCTGAACAATCGAAAGTTGAAGATACCACTTCCGAGTATTCCAAAAACTGAGCAACAAGAGACCCAAGATCCAATGCGAAAACGAGATCAAGAAAAGAAAGAAAAGATGAAGAAATACTCAGATCATCGACAACACTCGAGAACAACTGATCTGAAGATAGGAGACACAGTCCTGATCCGCCAACCAAAGAAAAACAAGCTTACCCCACCATTTAACCCCAAACCATTCACTGTTGAAGCTCGGAAAGGAACTATGGTTACCGTCAAACGTGGTTCGAAGAAGATAACACGCAACATATCCTTCTTCAAAAAGATTGATAATCGTGTAACGGATAGTTCAGATGACGAAGATGATGACGATTTTGATTGCGACCGAACCAACGAAGACCAACTCAATCAAGAACCTGTTCATTTACGAAGATCCCAGCGAGAAAGAAGACAACCAAATAGACTTGGATTTTGAACATTGAACTATCAATGACTATAGACACATAGTGCATGTTAACAGTTGAAATTTGTTTCAGTTTAAATTCCTATTGTCGTTTCTGGCAGAGGAGACATTTTGAACAACATATAACGTGGAGAACAGAGAACCTATACTAATGTGGGGAGGGATGTAATATAGCTAATTAATATGCTAATAACTAATCCAAATAGGAATAACTAATCAGTATTCAATATATAGTTCACAAACACTATAACACGCGTTTATCTCGTTTTATTGAGTCTTAAACACTACAGGATGGATAGGAGTTTTCTACTCTGAAGTTTTGAAATAAACAGATGTGCAGAAATACACAAACTAAAACAGCAGGTTAAATTTTAACCCAGGGTTAGCGCTAGCCCACCTTTGAACAGCTGGCCCCTGATGTTTTCAGAGTGCTGATAGCGTCTCAACCTTGTTGAAAATAATGATATCACTAAATCCAAAATAAGTACACGTTTAGCAACAACACAGCTCAGTATTTTATTCAAAAAACGTAAGAATACAATCATGATGGAATGTCTAAATATTGTTGGTCATTTTCAGGGAGCATATCAAACATTATAGACAGTAAAGATACCCCGGTTTACGGGTATGGGTGATATATATACGTACCCGTAAATCGGATACGACTTGTAGTTGTAACTTAAGAAATCCAGTATATTCCGAAATAAGAAAACTGATCAGAGAATGGTAACTTTCGTTGTTGAGGTTCGCCATAGATTTAGGAAAATTGCATTGATTCATTTAATATGTAAGATGTTGAACTAATTTACTATTTAAACGCCCTACAAAACACCCGTACCCGTTTGTCTTTTACGTGTAGACTATGCATGGTTACCGCGGGGAAACGGGTAGAAATTACGGGGAAACATGCTGACGTCAGCAAAAATTGGTAAACATGCGAAATGGCGATACTAGGACCCGTAAATCGGAACCCGAGTATGTTAACCTCTCTTATATCAACAGTGGTTTTTGTGATGCCAATTTCTTGATTACGAAAGTAAAAAGCCTAAAACATTTACCTTGAATACCTTGACCGTAATTAATGCCGTGGCACAGGCAGGTTTAAAAGATAAGAAAACCATTTTGAATCTCGAATGTAGCTACTTGAATGCGAAAAATGTAGGAAAATGTAAGAAAAATGCAGTAAACTTTACTATTATTAAGGTTACAGGGCACCCTTTTTGGCGTTTTGTGGAAAATCGCTATAGTGCGCGCTCAAAATCAGTCCGATTTTCATCAAATTTTCACCAAATGTTAGCAAGTGCATGCAAAACATGATAAAGTTGTAAAATTGACAAACAATAAAATAATGTAAGAATTATTCAGGAAAATCTTAAGTCGCGGTACCTTTACGCTTTTGAGTTATGTTCCTGCTGGTTTTAAGATATATTTATGAAAATATCATTTTATACAGTAAAATAGTTGTTCTAAAAAATTGTGTTCGGAAATTTTTGTTTATTTCGTCATTCCGCTGATATGGCGATTTCTTTGACGACTGCAATATATTTCTGAATCGTTTGTGTGAATTGCTCCTTATTATTAAAATATCCAAAATTAGAACAAAGCCGAACACAATTTTGAGACTGACGTCTTTAGCTATGTCCTGTGAAAATTTGAGAAAAATTCGTTAAAACCCGCAGGAGCACAACTCATTTAAAAATCATTAATTGCCGTAAAATTCTTCGGGAGAAAATTGAATTTGAATATATTACATTTTCAATGTTTTTCTTATTGCAAGCGAAATGTATTTTATTAAATAACTCTGCGAGTTTTCAACATTTTTCGTCCAAACTTGGTCAGATAGTAGAACTAGTCTAATGCTTTCATGGAAACCAATAAAAAAATTTTAGGCAAAATTAACACTCAAAGGTGTTCTGTAACCTTAATATTCGTTCTATTTGTGACATCACGAATTTCAAATAGGTCACGCCTGCAAGCGTCAGCTGTTTCCTATCCATTCTTTTAACTATTTGTTTTGTGTGTAAAATGTTTAAATTAATATATTTAAAAATGAAAGGTTTAGGCTAACTGAAATAATGGCTAAACAATCAGTTAGCTTGCTATATATTCATTTTGCACAATGATATATAAGCCATCTTGACTAATTTAGTTATGACCCTTGATTTCTACTTAGTGAAAAAGCACCCAACGTAAGGCTTTGTAATACTCACGCCATTACCTCTTAGTGTCATTCTCCCTTTATATTCTAAGGATAGCTTCTATCATAAATTTCGCATGCTTGTGATAGTTCATCAGCGGTATTCAAAACCAGGGACGTGCCGACCGATATGTCGTTGGGGGGGGGGGGGTGTGAACTCAAAAGTTTGGGTCCCCCTGATTTTGCCGCCCCCCTCCCCCCCGTCAAAAAAAGTTTTCCGGAAAAAGTGGTGAAGGTGGGGGGACTCCTGGAAACTCGTCTAAGAAAAACGAAATACGGCCAGAACAAGTAAGAGGCGCATGGTTTCGACGACAATACAGTATACTTTAAAGGCGCAAGAAAAACGTTTCACATAATCGGTTGAACAATACATTGTAATTAATTATAATTAAATTGGGCTAACGGCTAATGTAACTGATTGGTAAGTTACGATTCCAGACCAAAGAAGCACACGAACACACGTTTGAATCTATATTTCTAACGTTATTAGTCGTACCATAAATCAGCACTTAAAAACTACAAAGAATAAGCTATAGTAAACTAAAATTAATAAGCAAGACCTAAGCTGCTGTATATAGTGATACTAATTAGGGATGAGCCGATAAGGAAAATTGCCGATTACTGAGGCCGATTATTTATAAGCCGATTATCATAACTGATCGGCCGATTAATCGGTACCTGTCGATTATTTTAAAAAGCAAGAGAAAAATCACAAGATGACCAACAATGAAGTTGTAAATGCGGTTTTATTGTTTACAATACACACTAAATCAGCTTCAATCTCGCATGTCAATAGTCAGAGTATAGTTTTGGCAGATTATATGGTGTAAAAACAGGATGTTGTCAGCTTTATGCGGAGCTAGTCTGCTGCGTTTTTCAGTGGAAATGTTCCCAGCCTCACTGAACACGAGCTCCAAATATATGCAAAATTAGAAATATCAGGATTCGTTTAGTCAATCAGAAAAAAAGAATATCCACAGAATAACAACTCAACGCATAGGAATGCTTTTAATGACTTCCTCAAAGACACTCACGTGAGACAAAAGACGCAGGTTTTGCAACAAAATGTGAAAATCTATTCGCTTGTATGTATTTTAGCATGTGCTTGGCAGCTGCAGAAAAAGTCTTATGGCCGATTATATGCCGATTATCAGGCAATAATCGGCCGATTACCGATTATTTAAAAAATGGCTGATTATTTACCGATTAATCGGCTCATCCCTAATACACTATTCTTGTCGAAAAAGTTCTAGGCGTCCACACATGCGCCACGTACGTTATAATATCATGGAACTTAAATCGCATGGAACTTAACTATAAAAAGATGCGGGAGATGGTCATTCGCGGCAAGATAACCCGGCCACTTCCTGCGCCTCTGCCTGTGATTGTTCGTAAAAGTTGGTTGAATATACTTGGTGTAACGTTTCAAGAGAATCCTTCCATGTGGGACATGCATCTAGATGAATTAATGAGTAAAGCCTCTAGCAGAATGTACATTATTCGGATTTGCAAATACTACGGGTTTTCTAGGAAAGAGCCAATTGGATCTGTTCCATAGTCTTATTTTATCAATATTAGTTTTTGGTATAGAGGTCTGGGGATGTGCGTCGTATTCTAAGTATCTTAGTCAAGTAGATAAACTTTTAAAACGTGCATATAAGTATGGATATCTTATGTATCAGGTATCGATTGTTGATATATTAAACAATAAAGACAGAGATTTATGGGAGAAAATAACTACGGATCCCAACCATGCCCTACAAGTTTTGCTGCCTCCTAGTCGTCAATTAGAATTACGCAATCGCGGACATGAGTATGAACTACCGAGAGTTCGAACAGAAAGGTTTAAAAGAGTGTTCGTTAATAGATGTCTTTTTAACTTCATATGATATTTTTTAAATTAGAAATTAACTTCTTAGGAACTTCATTAAACATTATAATAATGGTATTTTAGCTCTATTAATGAATAATATCAATACTAATATAGTAATTAGTATAATAATTATTGATAAGTAAGTGCAAATTGTAAGCCCGCACGTTTGTTGTGAGGTGTTGCTTTTAATATTTTAATAAAGATTTATACATACATATATAAATGCATAATTAACATAATTATGTGGATTACGCTACAAGCAATGCTTGTGACTGTAGAAATTTCTAAAATTACATTGTCATGTACGAAAAGCGATTATAAAGCATTACAAAACAGAAATAAAGCGGTCAAGTGAAAGGCATAGTTGTGGGTTCTGTTCAAATGTTATTTTCTACGATCTAAGCTTTAATTTTACAACAAGTATACCGATATCTCCAATGATCATGTTCGCCGTTCCTCTCCAGGTGGATATTGGTAAAAAAGTACCTATGATCACACTGAACTCTTTGCCTGTCAAGATAATAAGTTATGCCGTCACCATCATCAGTGAAGCTAGTAAGAGATGTGTAACACGATGTTCTTGCACGATGTTGGTGATCATTCAAATTGCAGCAATCATAGCTGTATCTAATATAGTCATGCTCGCGGTTTCTTACCAGCCAAAAGCCGTTGATATAACCGTGGTTTCCACATGAGATCGTTTGTCGGTCCAAGTAGACCGTATCACCTTCGCCATCATCGGTGAATCTATTCCATATCCTGGTGTTAGTGCAAACATTGGAGGTAAGAGCACAGCAGATATACTCGTATCTTATATTTCCTCCCTTTCGTTGCAAATGAAACATTTTAAGGCCGCCAATACCTCCACACGTGAGTCTATGACGGTCCAAGTAAACCATATCACCTTTTCCTCCATAATCCCAGGGCGTATATTCATCCCAGCAATGTTCGCTGCATGACGCTTCATCTTGGTTGTCACCGCAGTCATTATTGTAGTTACATTTGTGACTAAAGGGTATGCATTTTTGCTTGTTTGAACAATGAAATTGATTATCACAGCATTCGTTAAAGCAGCTCGTAGTTTCCGTATTTGACCCACTACATGATGTACCTTGTCCTTGTTTTGTCACTTGGTGTGGCCTAGTTCTCGTCTTGGTACCCCCATAGTCACAACCCTTGTTACAGGAAGAGTAGTCAGACCAATGTCCCCATACACAATCTCGATTCTGACACTTGTTGCCATAAAAATCCGACTTGCAACTGCACTGTCCGGATATATCGGAACATTCCGTACCATTAGAGCCAGCTGCGTTGCAGCTGCATGGGCTGCATCTGCAGACTCTTTCTTGACACATGTAGTTTCTTTCGTTCCTGTTATGTAGTAATTCGCTTTGCACTGGTTCATGATTTTCATAGCTGGATATAAATACCTGCCTCCGGTGCATTGCACATTGTCTGAATTAGCAATACTGTACTCGCATGTCTTTTGGTTTAATGTGGAGACCTGAAAAAAATATTAAATCAAGTGTTAAACACTTAGTTTTATCAAAGTAAAAGGCGAAAATTTAGTCCTCACAACTAGGCACATTATCACGTCTCTAAGAGAAATAAAGCTGCGCGAGGGGAAAGGAACTTATAACCCTTATACTTGTGCGGCCAAAGGCCTGGCACGAGTAATTAGTGTCCGATCATGTCCGACTAAATTTTCAGAATTATATTGAACTCTGGACTCGACTGGTATTGTACAACCATTATGATTTCGATTTCTTTCAAGGAGAGAAACAGTTATTGTAAACCACGTTTAATAATATGGGAAGCTACATCCTTACTTGTGTATTTGTTTGGGCATCATATAGTTGCGCAACCTGTTCAGTTGGTCTGCCCATAATTTGGAGAGCTTGTACCCAGACAACAAATCCCATTTGTTGAAGAAGTACTAACTGGCGCCAGGTGTTATCAACAGCAGCTTTATATGCAGGAGTGCATGCTAAAGACTTGTACCTGTCAAAAGTAATTTCATTGATTTGAGTTAATTTAAACATATAATTTAATTTATTCTCATTATTGGTAAAGGACATGCAGGGCTCATGTAAATAGCCCCTAAGATTTTCCTTACCTGTTCATGAAGACTAGCATAAGAGGTTCATGCTTAACTAAAGGTGACCCAGTCCTTCCAATAAATAGGAAATTGACCTCGAACAACCATTTTTTAACACCATTCTCCGCAAGAACGGCAGTTGCTAACTGCTTCCCTTCCATGACGCGTGTGTTTGGGTGAAGCTTCGGCAGTTGCTGAAAGCGATTTGAGTAATACTCAATCTCTCGGATTTCTTCGTTGTAGAGTGTGATTAAGTTTGACCACTGGAACTGATCTGTCAACATGCGGGTGATACTATCAATGGCCTTTTTAAAAACAGCTTCAAGTTCACCGATTGCTGACCGGACTTCACCGAAGTTAATGCCAACATACTCGCGCATGTCCTTTATATCGTAAGCGATGTCGCTCAACTTGGGAAGATTCAATGTTTTTTCTAACAAAGAATCCATGGTCTTTGCCAATTGGGCTTCAGTATGCTCTTCGCATTTGTCGCCTATGAAGATAAAATGCTTTTCATGAAAATGCATGTGCTGAAAATGTTGCTCGCATATTTCATTGGCCTTTCCCGTATGTTTAGTGCAGGGTGGTCAAATGCACTGAAATGCACCGAAATGCACTGAAATGCACTGAGCGTTGTAGTGAATATGCTCATTGAGCTTCACACTTCTGATTACGTAGAGGGGCCTGTAAATTAGATCGAACATATATATATAGATTACAAAATTTTCTGTGGATGCATGCCCCTGGAACTCCTCTAGAGGATTGTCACGCCTAAGCCGCCTTTCATTTGCCAGGACGAAAATATTTATTTTCTTCATGTGATTATAAAACTATATGCTGTCATAAATAGTTGTAACTGCAGGTGCTGACGTGCTGTCAATGCCGCCCAGAAGGGGCATTTTGCCCTGGGATCCAGTTAAAAGGGGGACGCAAATAAAGAATTACAGTGAAATATACATAGACATAACTGTCAACTAGACTTCCAGAATGCAGGATTTGGCCATTTCTGGCACCTCAGATTTCAAAATTTTTCCGAGGGGAAATGCACCCGGACCCCCTATTAAATCATAGTGTTAGAAGATGGAATCACGCAGGCCAACGAGTCAAAGTTTGTCTTTGTCCCCAAAATTTCCCTGGGTACTGTGCAGAGTATGTTCGTTTTGACATTTTTGAATATCAATTGTAGCCTGTTTTGTTGTTACACATTATAAAGGTGTGTTCAGAAATTGTCAGGACGTGTTTCTGCTCGGCTAAACTTTGCATAAAAATGTGCAATGATAAAAAATTCTTAAAATTAGGTATGTTAGTACACGCTTTTATACTTTTATGTACTATTTAAAGCACGCGTAGGAGTGTTTTATCAGATATAAAACACGACGCGTAGCGGAGTGTTTTATATGTGATAAAACACGACTACAAGTGCTTTAAATGGCTTCAAAAACGACTCATCTTATACGAGTTCATTGGCGAAGTAATTTTTAAAATAAACTTTGTCTAAACCGAGAAAATCAAAGCTAAAGTTTAAGTAAATTAACATGATTTTTTATCACATATAAAGATACTACACGCTTATGATTTTTCTTTGTGTTTTCCTCCTGAATTATTAATGCGTTTTTTAATAATGTCTAAACTACACGTTTCTAGTACACGCGCATGCGCAGACTTTTTCCCGCGGTGTTGTAATGAGCTACTATAACTTTCAATATTCCATCTTCCGCGCGTGCTAACCCTACGCTGATTCCTACGCATCCTTATACTGATCCCTGCGCCATATCATACTAGGAAGCTTCTCCGGAGCAGAGTGGTAACCAAACAAGGTCAAAGTGCGGATCGTCCAGTGGGATCGTCCCTTCCTTTGTTGTTTTAGTGTTTGTAATGTGGTGTTTTACATACCTTGAAAATATGGTTTGCACTGGCAGTATTGCGCAGATGAATACGGTTGCGTTCTACAACTGCCTTGGTTGTCACATGATTTATTACATGTCAGCCCATTCGCTATTTCCATCGACTTCAGTGTTATGACTAAGCGAACTTTCTGTTTTTTGTGCATGTAATGAGACTGGAATGTGTATTCTTCGTTGATGTATGTGAGGGCGTTATCAGCTGTTATAACAAGATCATCGTATTCCTTGAGAACATTCAAACTTGTGACGTACTTCCAAACCCCCTCTTCATTCAGCTCTTCTGCCAACTTATGCAGTAGGTTGCAGGTATCCTCTCGTACGCTGTAGAAGTTTGTTTTAGCGGCAATTTGATCAATTGCTTTCAAAACTAGCAATTTTTGGTTAGAATACGTCCCATATTTATCGGTGAAGCTCACTATTAGATTCCTCTTTCGAGAATTCCTATCAGCTGGCATGTTCCAGAATGAACCATACGGGTTTGTGACACAGTGTTCTGATACGCCATATGCTTCGTATGAATGTACCACCTATTGCAAAATTGATTTGATATGAAACATTAAAAGGCTACGTTTACAGTTACACTATCCGGATAGCTTTCCGTAGCGCCATGAAAAAGCACCTATCCGATACGGAATGTACAACTTTCAAAAGCTGAGCGAAACAACATCGCTCCGCTGAAAATAGCGTTCCTAAAAGGTACGGATAGGTGTTTTTTCACGTCGCTGCGGAAAGCTATCCGGTGCAGTGATGTAAAACAACATCTAAAGCCGGTTTTCCACTAGGCGGAATTTTGCGCGCGGAGCGGAATCTTTCTTTGTCTTTTCTAATTAGTTCCACCCGAGAAATCACAAGACAAAGAAAATTTCCGCTCCGCGCGCAAAATTCCGCCTAGTGGAAAACCGGCTTAATACTGAGGTTCGATTTTTTCACGAAAGTTACGCAACTGCCGTTGCTATGGCAACAATGACGTTTCAAGATGGTGGATAGTCTGGCTTTAAAGTAGTTTAACTTGAAAACGACATCGGTGACCCCTGAATTTTATTTCATAAAATGATTTCTTTTAGAAAACTCAATTATTTTGACAATTTCAAAAAAATTCTGTTGAGCAAAAAAAATTATGAATAATCACATTTACGTAATTTGAAACATTTTGGCTCAACAGATTTTCTTAAAATTGTCAAAATAATTTTGTTTTTCAACAAGCAATAATTGTCCAAAAATACGGATCTGAATCATGAAATTTCCATTTTTAAAAACTGTATAGAGCCACCTTAAGTGCAGTAACTTGTAGTTCTCATATGTCGGCTGATAGTCGGCGATGACCGTTGTGCGACGTCAGCGACAAATTACAACATGTATAAAGCCCGTTTTCCACTCACGTATTTCGCCGCCGCTGGCGAAAAATTTCGCCACCGAAAAAGTTCATTTGTTGTTCTTTCGCGCCGTCAACGAAAGGTCAAACACAACTTGAAAATTTTAAGCAACTGTAGCAGGAGAACAGATTTCTTCGGCGGCGAATGAATGTAAAAAAATGATTTCTTTGTCAAAATTTTTCGCCAGCGGCGGCGAAATAACGGAGTGGAAAATGGGCATAAATTACATCGCAGGCGAGCGACTGAGCGAGAAACATCGCCGATCATAAACAAGAAACATAAACGTTTATTTCTTGCACTCTTCACTTAACAAAAAGTTTGTTTCTTGCAATGGTAGCCGACCATCGCATCTATGGGGTGCCATATCCGCCAAAATTATATAAGTACGATATTATTAATTATTTTTCGCATTATTTTCAGCGTATTTTAAATATTATTCAGCATATTTTTATTATTGTTCAGCTTATTTTTGTTATTTTCAGCATGTCTTAGCATTTTCATTAAAAATTGTCCCTCTTTTTACATAAAAGCACAATTCTTGATTAACTGACAATGAGCAGCTAGAAACAGCTGAATCAGGGGCGGATTAGAGCTATCAGTGTGATCAGGCTTTAGCGTTTAAGGGCCACATTTGTAAAGTCATTGAAGCAAGTTCTAGTAACCGTAATCAGCCGTCTGCTTTTCCCTACGCCTTTATCCATTCATTAAATTGTAACATTTTGATTAGATTGACCATGCAGTAAAGAATAAGACAAGAAATATACTACTTTAGTATAATACTGTATTTGGGGGTTGTTACAAATCTGTGGTAGCTGTCTTTAGATTGTACATACTCTAACGCCTGTATCCTAAAAGCGCACTCAACACTCAAAGAGTGGCACCTCTTTCTCACTAAGTGTAACTCAGTACTCAATGAGTCTGTGATGACTCTCAATGAGTGGGAAACGACACTCGCCTTCGGAACATTCACAAACGGCACTCACCCTTGAAATAGAGGTCGAGTTTGAGTGGAGTTTGAGTGGAGTTTGAGCGTAGGGTATACCTCCCTTGAACCATTCTCACGTGAAGTTGTGATGAACAACATGGCGAATGTATGGCTTAACAGATTACAACATTTGGATAATATTCCACCCAATCATTGAAACCGAAATAGAATTTAAAATTTCAACTATGAAATGTATGATGGGGAGCAATTCCGATTTAGATTAACAAAGGAAGGATTCCGGGAGATCTTAAACATAATAGGGCCACTATATCTGGTCACAATGAACGAGGTAATCCAAATTCCTGCGGACATAAAGCTTTTGTTGACATTCGGTTATTATGCAACTGGTACGTTTCAGCTGGCATGTGGAAACCTCTATGACATATCTCAATGGTCAAAATGTTTTGTTGTTGGTCAAAGTAAATATTAAGAGTAAGTGCGCTAACATTTCAAGAAATACACAGTCTTTCATCAATATTGAAATTTGGTCAAAATTGTTTTTGGTCAAAAAATATTGAGGAAAAAATGCGATTAAATTTTAACTGTATGTACATCGCACATCACCAATTAGTGTTTGTTTTGGGACCAATTTTTGTCAATAACTCTGATAGTTTTACAATCAACACAGAACTTACAATTCTTGCGTTTATCGCAGAGTCAGTGGCGCACATTAGAGGGGTGTGGGGGGTGTTACACTCCCCATAATTTTGCGAAATGTCCAAAAAGTCGGTCCCAAACGGACAATTTTGTCGGTTCCGATCGTCCGGTATAAACATTACGCAAACTGGTTGTTTCCATTCCGTCTCCAAATAAATTAATAAATTTTGAAAGGTTATAAAATGCTTATTGCCAACACTATTTGAATCAGCATCGTTTCTGTGCTCCATATATACCGAGTTGGTGTACCAATTTAGTTTGTGAAAAGGACCAATCGAAAGAGGTAAATGAGACTCTGAAAAAAGCATTTTCAACGATCTAGAGACTTCAATTTTGCAAAATTTTTTCGACCTTTGCACCTTTTATACAATCACCTCTCAAGTATCACAGAGATATATAAACGTAATCATGGACAGAAATATTGATCGCAAATGGCTCGGCACACTAAAGAAATGCCATTTCGAAGATTGGAAGGTCAATACGATTCCCCCTAGATATACGCGTCGCTTTCAAACGTAAAAAGTCGGTCCCGAAATATTTTACACCCCGCCCTAAAAAAATTTGGGATGTGCACCCCTGCACAGAGATACTCGAAAGCATGAGACTGCAAATGCTGTGGACTGCACATTTAACAAGCAGCCACGATCATTTCCCTATATTGTATATAGAAGTCTTAAAGAAGTATAGTTCGAATAAATATACCGAGTGTATTTTTATTAATAATTATAGTTAAGCATTCATCGTTAGCTGATTACATATCCTTGGTATCCATGAGTCTAAATCATGAATGTAAGACTGTGGATGCCGTCACTGTTTCTTGGGGAGGAGAAAGCGCGTCAAAACCCATCCGAGATTTCAACCGTATGACGGCATTTTGGTACCCGGTCAGCAGCAAGTATAGCCAATTTGCTTCGGGTGTACCGCCATATACAATTGTGGCATTGAGGCTCAGTTTTTAGTGCAAAGTTGACGACTATTGTTATGGGGTGCAAGGCATTACGTCATTACGTGACTCAACAATCGATGTATAGAGTAAACAATCCGGGGGCGCTTACAAATTATGTTCTGTAGATTTGCAACATTCGTATAAATATTAAAACATTTCAAATTCAATTTTTATTCACAACGACAGATGTTCTTCTGACTTACATTATCTAACATCTAGGAAACAATCATAAAATAAATATCAATTTTAAGATATGAATGGCCAATATGTGTAGCCGTAGGGACTTTCTCGCCCTCCCTGCAACAAATCAAATGAAATAACACACGTGCTCTGCTCCAATTTTATCTGGTTATAGAAAAACCTAATTAAATTATTACATAAGACATACTTAGTTATTTTGTCTTGAATATTTAAGCCATTCAACCCAAGCATATAGGCGTAAGCATCAAGCGCTATAGCAATCCTAGCATAAGCCTTTTTAATTTAATTTTAAAATAGCCTTACAAAACGTATTAGCAGCCGGTCAGCATAATCTAGGCTGCAGTGCAGACCAAGAGTACTAAAAGTGCAGAATAGGTGTAAATTGCAGACTATAATTTCAGACTAGGTATAAAATGCAGACTATAGGTATAAAATGCAGACTAAAAAGTCAAAGGTCTGTTAATTTATTCCTGCCTATACCAAAACGTCTCCTTAAAGCCCGCCGCACACGAGCGCACTTGTCGCGCGTACTTGTTATTCGTGACAAGTTGGATCGACAAAATTTCCTCGTGTGCGGGCAACATTTACGGCATTTTCGTCATTCGTGACATGTAAACCAAATATCAAACATGTTTGATATTTTTCGTCATTCGTGACAAAAAAATTGTCGTGTGCGGCGAGCAAACGACAAGTGCGCCTGAATAGGAAAATTTGCGCATGCGTGCAACTTGCCGAATTAAAAACAAGACACGAGCTCGTGATTTTGATCCGCCATGTAACCATGTTGTTTTTAATTCTGCATGTGGTCAGTGGTCAAAGGGTTTGTGGCTGTCAATTTCCCGTTTGTATCTAAAATGACTGAAAATTGCAAACTTCGCAAGGCTATATTATCCGTATTTTACAACATTTCGCAACGAAACTTTGGAATATTACTAATTTTGTGATGCTCTTTCAAGCTGTGATGAAATTTTTGTCTAGACTTGTTTAGATCAAAATTTAGTCTATATTACGGAAGTGGTCAATTGAAGGCTATATATTTTCTAACGATCGATATACTCATATTTATTCAATATATAGTCTGCATTTTATACCAAGTCTGTAATTTCAGTCTGCAACTTAGACCTATATTCTGCATTTTATACTTTGTCTGCAGTCTACACTAGATTATACTGACTGTATAAGCAGCTATATTTGTATGAAAGCGGACCGCTTTCATTATTTATAAGTAATAACATGACTATAGAGAGAAATTGGCGATTAAATTGCCCGACGCCGAGGGAAGATTTGTGAAAGAGGACTTTCACAAATCTTCCCAAGGCGAAGGGCAATTTAATTGCTAATTTCCCGACTAGTCATGTTATTAGTTTTATTTTGAGTTGAACGACGAAAGGCTTTGATCATTGCTGATCTGGTCCCGACGGTGCAATGGAACCTCAGGCTGAGCCCGTGAAATTGCCGCACCCAGGGGGTTGCTACACAGCAAGCAAACCAACAGAGAGTACGACCCTCTCCCCCGTGCCATGAGACAACCATGAATGACCTGAACAATCAGATGCTGAGCATCTTCATGCCCAGGGATCCCTAGTCCTATGATAGTGGATGGACGGGAACGATGTTTGTTTGAATCATCATGAACAACCCCCGAGTCTACCAGATACCTGTCAACATTAATTCAAAAAGGAGGCCACAGCAGTACACCAATAAAGGAGACTACTGCGCCTATTAATACCACAAACAAAATAAAACAACATTACAAGCCACATGACATAATAGCGAAATGACACCATTAAAACGACAAAAGTACAAGTCAAAACGATAAACACCAGCCAAAAAGGCCGAAGTTTGGAAACATTGACAGACAAGAGTACGAATTCATATGGAAAGATAAACAAACCAGACAAACCGTAAAGACGACGGCAGTAGCAACAAAGGCGACTACCGAGCCAATGAAGGCAGAGAACCACTAACACAACTCAAAAGGACAACGACGACAACACCAATGAAGGCGATCCTCGTGTCCAGAGAGATAGATAGATACAAACAATTCTCAAAAGACAACGGCAGCAGCAACCAATGAAGGCTACCGCCGCGCCTCCGAGAAACATTTAGACGAAACTCCGCCGCAAAAACGATAACGTCCCCAGCGGACGAAATGCCAACAACACCACTCGCCATCCAGAAATCGGAGAAATTGGCCGGCAAACAATGACGCTGCCGAACACGGATCACACACCGTAAGGTGAACTTGACACATGATAGAACCGTAGGGTAATGCGGCATCACCTTATCAAACCTGGCTTTATTCCTGGTTAACCAAATGTGGTGGCGAATAATTCCCAACAAACATGGAAACACGGGAGGTACCTATACCTTTTTGCCATAACCAACAAGAAGATCACATTTAGTAGGACGCTGGGACTGTGGTCGGAAACGTTTATAGACAGAAAAATACCAATCAATAAGCTGAATGGCAAATGGACATTCAATAAAAAGGTGGATGAGGGATTCCGTTCGGCCACAGTGACAGAACGGGTCAACTTGCATTCCAAAGCGCAGCAAACGATCGGCGGTGGGAAGAATACCATGCGCAATCAGCCAGGAAGTATCCCGAACAGGTCTTATGAAACGCCAGAGAAGAAGGGACAACCAAACATTTGACCAATCGACTGGAAGATCCCAATTCGCAAACTTTTCGACGCATCGATGCTGCTTACGATATTGGTGATACAAGGTGTCGTAGACGAAACTTGCCGAGAGCTTTTCAAGTGTGACCACAGATTGCCGAGGACCGCAAATGTTGTATTCATTGTCCACAAACTTCCGCTCCAGAGCAAACCAAGCCGTCATCACAGATCGATAAAACGGAGGGAGAGCGTCCATAACATATTTCGGTGGTACCGCCAAAATCAAAATAGGGACCTTTAGCTAGCAGGACAGCGACGGCTATTAATACAATGAAATTTATGACAGTGTAGAAAGAAAATGCATAATTAAAGGTCCCATGGGAGTTTTAGACGTCGTCCTTGCTCTGTTTACAACAGCAAACCAAAGATTTTCACGTTTTGTATACAACGTCTGCCTTTCAAGCCGCGAGAAGTCGTCCTCGCCAAATTGGCTTAGTAGAAGTCTTCTCAACTATAAACCTCTGTCTTAACCTTCTTAAATTGCAATAAATTCATACAACGCCAACGGATAATACAAGACATATTGATCTTAAAGTTACTTATTCGAACGAGTTTATTTTGGCCGTCGTCGTCGCGTTGCCGTCACCTATTTGCTAAAGGTCCCTAATTTGGTGAACAGAGCGACCAGGGAATGCGCGCGTGAGATACTGAGAAAAGAAACTAGTCAACGGCAAGTTGGGACGAAAAATAAGCCTCTTCACCCATAACACATGCAGAGACAACATCCTACGATAGACGTCCACCACACCTAAACCCCCTTGATTAGGTCGTTGTGTGACTGAAGAGCGAGCCAGCCATTCCCGTTTCTTCCGCCATACAAATGGAAAAATCTCCCCATTGACAGCTTTAATGATTGCTTCAGGTATTACAGAAAACGAACATAGATACCAGAGAGTACTCAGCCCCAGCATATTGGCAATGAGAGCGCGTCCACGAAAGGAAAGCGCTCTCCGATTCCAAGCTGTCAAAGTAGTCTTCAAAGCCTTGATCTTTGACTCCCATTGTTCCTCATCATTAGAGATACGAGAACCCAGAACAATGATTTCCACATTGGACCAATCCAGCGCAATTGGTAGATTGGAACGAGATTGCCATGTACCAATCAACAACCCATGACATTTTGTAACATTTAATTTAGCCCCCGGAAGCCTTGAACAATGGAACAAATGAAACAAATGGAACAAAGCATTCAATTCCAAGTCCGTAGTTACGATAACGGATGTATCATCAGCGTATTGACATAGCTTAACCGACCGGCCATTTGGTAAGATGTAACTATCGATGAAACGATCCGCACGAATTGCACTAGCTCTTGTTTCCGCCACCAATACGTAGAGTAAAGGGGATAAGGGACAGCCTTGACGAACACCCCGAGAGACCGAGAAAAACTCAGTTGTTTCACCATTGATCAGGATACAGGAAAATATATTTGAATATAATAAAAATACCCATTTCTGGAAGGATGGACCAAAATTCATAGTCTGCAATACACAGGATAAATACCCCCATTCCACCCGATCAAACGCCTTCTCCTGGTCCAGCGAAATAACTGCAGCTGCTTTATGATTCTGATTGGCATGAAAAACCACATCCTTCAGCAAACGAACACTTTCTAAAGGATTCCGGCTGCCAACCCCACAAGTTTGATCCGAATGAGTTACCTTGGCAATAACACCCAGCAAACGATTGGCAATAGCTTTGGCAACAGTTTTATAGTCAGCGCATAATAATGTGATGGGACGGCAATTCTTCATGTCAAGACGATCCCCACGCTTATGGATGAGCGTGATAACCCCAGATCGCTGTGAGGGAGACAATTGTCCATGAATATAAGCAAAATTAATGACATCGACAAGATCAGCTCCAAGAACCGACCAAAAACGTTGATAGAACTCAGCTGGGAGTCCATCAAGGCCCGGAGATTTACCAGCCATGGCATCCAGTGCTCTCTTGCATTCCACCTCAGTTCCCCTTCACATAAACTTTGTTCAGCTCTGGACAGTTTCAGTGACAAGGAATTCAAGAAGAAGTCTTGTTCAGTTGGATCTAGACTCTGCGACGTAAATAGTAAACCATAAAATGCCACCCAAGCCCTAGCGATACCCACGAAAGTAGAAACCACCGTGCCGACCAAACCTAAAACCGAAAAAATACTTGGTAGAGGCTTCTCCCTCTTCTTACATCTACGAGGACAGTACGAGATAACACTGTTATTTGAAGATGATCGAGTAGGCCTTGAGGGGGTATTCTGAGTATCATTTTCCTGAGCCATGCCAAATTCCGATCCATTTTCGGGTATGTTAGGGTATTCGTTATCGTTGACCATAGACGGTTCCATATTATCACCACCACCATCCGCCTCATCTCCGCCCTCATAAGCGTCGATGGAGGGCGAACCAATGACCTCGGAGGCGATAGACGTAGAATCATCCGCAGGAGGAGCGGAGGGAAGAGGTGAATAATCATCCACAGTGTAAAGAAAAGCATCCCGGCGTTGCGACTTGCGAGCACGAACCTTTCTCTGTACAGATGTACTCCTGCCAGATGGAACTACAACACCATTTGCATCGTGATCCATGGATGTGGGATCAACTTCGTCACAAAGAGACGAAAACTGATTAGAGGAGGGAAACGAGCCAAAGGACTAGGAGGGAGAGGCAGAGAAGTAGGGACAAAATCATCCTCAACTACGCCCCCATCCGAAGATTGATTTCGATCAACACGCTTTTCCGAGATATCGGAAACATCAGAGTCATCAGGCTCCCTAGTGCGTTTTCCAAGAACAATAGGAAGTGGCTGCTGGCCGCCTTCACTTGCTGGTAGTGGAAGCTGCTCGAGGACATCGACAAATTCATCATCATCATCGTCCGAGTCGTCAGAATCCTTACGAGATGATTTCTGAACCGCTGCAGAAGAAACTTTTGCAGAGGACAGGGGGAAAGTAGACGTGACCCCACCTGCATTGATGTTATGAACATTGTCATCACGGCTAACATCTGCATTAGGAACATCCGAGTTAATGACTGAACCGTTCAACAACTGATTGTCAAGATTAGTATTGGTATTACTAGCATGCGAGCCGTGACTATGGCTATCAGCATTACTAGCTGTAATGGACGGATGAGGACCATCTATTAATTGCGGTAAGCTAGTGTGGCTCTCATCAGTGGTATGCCTAACCTGAGTACCCAGACCATGGGCACCAATGCGTTCGTCAGTTACTGTACTGGTCGACAGGCGATTTACTCTCGTTAATGGACCATCTGCATTGATGATATTGTCTGTAGCATGTGTGTGATTAGGGCAATCTTTAGTCATATGCCCTGTCTGGTGGCACGAGAAGCACGTCTGAGCCTGACCAACGTAAAAACAATTGCAGGAATGAGCTGCAATGATCAGCCGCGAAGGAATTGGCTTACACAGTTCCATTAAGACTTGACGGACCCCAACATAAACCCCATGAAAGGAGTCCATTTTAATCTGAATGATTTTGCCGTATGGTTTCAAAGCATCAGCAATCACTTCATTGGGAATACCATAACTCAGACGCGTAATGTTTACCCATTTGGCCGTCCTGACCGGGTTGAACTTTAGACGAACATCTCTAAACGTAAGCCCGAAGTGGCACACTTCTTCCATATTCAATGCGGTGCGACAAGTAATACGAACTTTGCGAGGCGATAATAAGACAAAAGCCTCGAATAACGTGGGAAAGTCATCTCCCATTTGGCGATGGAAGTCTTCCATTATGTTTTTGACAGTTACCTTGGCCTGCCCTTGAGTATTAGGAAGCTCCACGTCCACCGTTCGATTTGAAAAAGGAATCTTCATGCTTACAACAACTTTAACACGAAGCAAGAAATTCCATCAAATATTAGGGCAACCCCCACACAATAAATTATACACAAAACGTTACCCCAAGAAAATCCCCAACCGAAGAACCTGGCTGTTAGGGTTCGGTCAAGCACCGTCCCCCAAAACAAATTTTCCCGGGAAATTTAGTAAAAGACAAAAGATTTCTTTGTCTTCTAATTTTCCCTCATCAAGCATGCAGGGGCGAATTAGAAGACAAAGAAATCTTTTGTTTTCAACTACATTTCCCGGGGAAATTTAGAAGACAAAAGCGTATGCATGGGTAATGAGGGAAATACGGGATTTACATTCCCTTTCAGAACAATGAAAATCGAGGTGATCATGGTATTAGTTGCGTTATACTATAAATGTGGATAAAATTGTATCTAGTTCTGGAAATGTATTAAAATTAAACAACACTTCACGTTGGAATACTACAAGGGGATAGCATACTAAAGTAAACGATTACAAATTCTGTAGTCTGTACAATGATCTGGTATCTTGCACTTCACTTGGTGGTATTAATATTTGAATGCTGTTCTTAGGGTTTGTAATCCAAGTGAGTATATATATACATTTTAAGACCTGACCAGGAACGACTGCGGAAAATGCAGCACAAGGTCCTCTGGTAGGAATTGAACCTACGGCCCCGCGATTCCGATTTCGCAGGGCCGTAGGTTCAATTCCTACCAGAGGACCTTGTGCTGCATTTTTCGCAGTCGTTCCTGGTCAGGTCTTAAAATGTATATATATATTTATATATATATATACTCACTTGGATTACAAACCCTAAGAACAGCATTCAAATGTAGTCTGTACAGACGATAATAATACAGACCATCTGACCATGCATGTAATATTTTCTGATCGAAAAGAAATACACAATTACTATACAATTGCCGGTATGACTATAATTAGCGGAACTGCAGACCACGGAACTGCGCAACCTGTGGAACTTTATAATATCACTTTTTCTTCTTGTATAAACATTGTTCCTTCGATAAAGTAAGGGTTTTTATTGTTTATTTACACGATTCTGTTATATGTCGCCATTATATCTGTTTAATTGTCAATAAAATGGTAAACATGTCAATTCTCGGTGTTCTCCAGCGTTTTCACTTGGAAAGCTCCTTTTTCTGATATAATTTTAATTCAGACTTTGGTCTGGAAGAAAATTTTGAAGTACGAAATTACCCAAATTCTGTACTTTATTTAAAAAATACAATTTATTCACAAATCGTACGTTTCAAAACTATAATAACTGACAAACGATTAGCAAAATTGGATATCTGTTTTCAAAGTTGTTAGTAATTTATATTCTATTCGTCTCACGACCCAAGTCATAAAGAATGCAATTAAAAATGCCATTCACTATATGTCACCAGGATATTTTCAATTAAAAATATACTACAGCATTTATGAGTTATATGACTCTTATGGAATTTGCAATATTTTGCAATTTTTGTTAATTAAGTAACGTAAGTACTGCATGTAAAGAGGCATATAGCTCTCTTCTTAGCACGACAAGTAAGCCATATATATGGAAGTTATTAAGCTACAACGAGCATGGCCATGGGCCCATTTCGTATATTACGTGTGAATCATAATAAATCTTGTATTATCATATATACGATACACTCGAATTTCCTGTTATAGCCATTGCTTTCTGATCATTTGTCATATCAACTTTGCACTATCCTTGGAATCTGTGAGTTTGTAGCAGGGGTGAGTCGTATACTATCTGTTAGGGGTTTTACCCATTAGTGGAAGCCACAGTTACTTTTTAAAAGTCCGTTGATGCACAATAGCCTGTTAGGGGCACTGTGGCCTGTTACGGATGAATAGCCTTGACAAGGCAGAAAAAAGTTTAAAAATCTTGGTGCGTACCGTAGGTGGAAGCAGTGGGCAATCCAACGGGTCGGTGGTTCCCTTGCCAGCAGAGATGGCGCCTTTCGCTTTGCATCTAATCTATCTTATCGAACAGGAACAATTATAGCGGCTGCAGTTAACTCTATAGTGCATGGTGTTAGCTGGGTACACAAGAAGGGCGGTTTCCTGGAACTTGCACAATAACCTTTAGTTAAACAGCTGATGGAACAGCACGACGTACCCTGGCAAAATAGGTATGTACATTGTAGAAGGCTCCGCTTGGTACCAACTTGGTGAGGAAGTTGGTGCAACGCTTGCAGCAAGGTAACCTGGCTGAGTTACAGTTAGCGACATTGATCGCCTTGGGCGGGTTTCTTGGTTTTCTGTGGTGGGATTACCTAAGTAATTTGACTACACTATCCATTTTGCAGAGTCGCTTGGAAGAACGACCCGTTTAGAGAGGATTCGTGGATGGTAATTTCAAGCTCGGAAGTGAAACCATGTGGCGTGTAAGTAGGAAATTCATAGTGCAAGGCCACCACAAACAAGGACCCAAGTTATTTCGGCGAGTCCAGCATACAAAAAATGGTTGGCAACAGGAGCAGGTATGTCCAAAAGTCGGGCTAACCAACTACTGAAGGTTAAAGAAGGAAGGATTGAATGCAGTGGCTATAGCATACATAGCCTATACGTGTAGGTGGAACATCAGCAGCAGTAGCTTTGAGTGTACCGAACCGGTAATTTCAACAACATGGGGGATGGAGAAGTGAGACAGCCAAGAATAATTACCTCAAAGAGAGCTTGGACTCGTTGATATTAGTAACAAAATCTATTCAGGATAAGAACATCTAATATAAGAGTCATACTGAACATTTTCCTAAGGTCTCTGTGGACACTCCCTCAGCAGTGTGTGAGAAGTGTTATTTTCTGCCGGCTGAGAAATGAAAGAAGCAGAAAATGTTTTTCTCACGCACTGCTGGGGGACGGGGGCAAGGGTGGGGTACAGGTTTTTTGCATCTCTCGCATAATATTTATATAAAGGCGAGTGAAACAACCATATGTCAACCAGTTTTCCAAGCCTTGAATTATTGTTTTTCACAAAAAAATCGAAAATTTACAAAATAGTAGAAAAAATAGTGTGTTCCCACATTATAATACGATTACATGACGTTTTAACAACAAACCGAACGCGATTCTACAACGCGGTGCGAATTTTCAGTTTTTAACAAAACCGTCAAAGGAAGGAAATTTTACAAGATATGCAGACGGAATAATTGAAAAACATATATAGAACAGGTTAAAGTTAAATGCAAAATCGCGTTCGGTGTGTGTGCGAATATGTGTTATGTCATATACATATACATATACATTATACATATACATATACATATGCATATGCATATGCATATGCATATGCATATACATGTACAAAAAAACTATACATGTACATGTACATATATATATATATATATATATATATATATATATATATATATATATATATATATATATATATATATATATATATATATATATATATATATATATATATATATATATAGAATATATATAGCATATATATATATAGCATATATATATATATATATATATATATATATATAGCATATATATAGAGAGCATATATATAGAGAGCATATATATATATA